TGTTTGTTTGTTTGTCATCAACATAACTCAAAAAGTTATGGACCGGTTTTGATGAAATTTCCAGGAACTTTTCAGGGAGTGGGCCAAGGAAGAGATGATTAGTTTTTGGTGGTGATCCGGATCAATAATCAATAATAATAAAAAAATTGCTGTCCTCGCGGAGGTCTGCGCTCTCAGAGTGCTTTTCTAGTTTTGTTTTGACATGCATCTGAATGCAGTGTTTATAAGAACCACGTGTCGAATCCCGATTCCTTTTGCATAACTTACAGAAACACACAAAGTAAAGATGTTTACGGGACCCCTGAAATTAAAAAAACAAACAAACAAAAACTCTGAGTAATCGGTTGTCATTCGTTTATACTTATTAGCGTTTAGTTTTTAAGTTAAGCATGCCTTTATTTTAAAACAGGTTCATTTTTTACGAAATATCCTCGGCACGACATGGTGATAAGCCTCAACAAAAGAAACACGGGGAGATCTAACAAGGAATATAACCTTCGCCACGACTGGAACTCGCTCATCAGCCACGACGAGAGCTTACAGGTGCGCCATTATTCCAAAGTGATGTTCCCACACAGAGAGGTGTTGGTAAAGTACTTGTGTGACTATCAGAGGAAACTGGGAATCAATGTTCAGTATAATGTGGATGTTCACAATATCAGGAAACACAGTGACACGGGGTTGTTTTCTATGGAGGATCAGCGCGGGAATGCATACAGTTGCAAGTAAGTTAATACTCTCTCCTAAGGTGTCACTTCCAACTTTATATCAGTTAAAAAGATTCCACGAATTTTATGTTTGCGAAACAGTAAACCTTTAATCTGATGATCTTATTTACAAAGATGATGCTGAATTTCTTCATTATAAACTTCTAGTAGTAGTTGGGTAGTGCGTTGTTCAGAGATTTAGTAAGCGAATAGTGCATATGTGGACATAAAACATGAATGATCTTTTAGAAAAAAAATATATATATATTGTTTAGAGTTATTTGAATACCACATCAATACCAAATTGCAGGAATTTGATCATGGCAACGGGTATGCAGAAAGCGAACGTCCCCAAGTTTCCAGGATATGAACTAGCAGTGGGCTACGAAGACGTGTCGGTGGATCCAGAAGATTTCGAAGGGAAGTCGGTTCTTATTCTTGGTGAGTACGGCCAAACAGTATTGTTCTTATTGCGCTTCTGCTTTTTAAAAGTTGATGGCAGTGTAGGAAAAGAAGTAAGTTATTTGTTTAGAATTAAAAACGGCCTTCCAGCTTCAATTTTAATTTTTATTGTTACCTTTGTTGCTGCTATTACCTTTTTGTCACCAAATCACGCTCTCAGTGCAGGATTCGAACATTATTGCGGGTAACGGAAGTTATGATAAAACGATTTAAGTGAGAAGTAAATTCGATTGCAATATTACGAAAGGACACCGAAATCATGCAAATTATATGATTAATTATCTTATTAAACAAGCTTTTAGTTCCGTAAAAAAAATAAAGTATCTTGATGATATCCCCATCTACATGATGAGTATTTAACTTTAGGTCGCGGCAATTCTGCCTTTGAAGTTGCTGAAAGGATCTATGGAGTAACCAATAATATTTTCATGTTGGGACGCTCACGAATTAGGTTGTCTTGGTCCACTCACTATGTTGGTGACCTCAGGTGAGTGTAAATCTTTTTTTTTTTACATAAGCTCCCTAGAAAAATTTTATCATTCCAGCTTTGTCATCCACTTTTAACTAAAATTGCCACTAAAATATAGCGCACGTAACTTCAAAATTGGACTACCATATTTTCTATTGACTTGAGTTATAAAATAATCAAAGGTATACTATACCCGTTTTCAAATTCCCTAAGCCATGTTTTTATGTATGAATATTCTGCATAGCTACTTAGCTTTTCTATTAAAACAACGAATCCCTCCAATATACATGTAGCTACCTGATGTTGGTATTTTCTTCTGAAATGTCGGGAACGAATTAAGTTATTTAAAGGCTTTCAATATTTTTTTTTTTTTTTTTTTTTTGCGGCGAATACACTTTTCATATTAAAAGTACAATTTTCTATTCTCTGCACTTCCCTATATTTGAAGTCTATATTTTGTTCCTTTTTTAATTAAATAATTAAGGTCTTCATAAATCATGATAAATTTAAATACAAAAGCTCAAAAGGAAATATCGACATCAGGTACGCATTAGATGAGACTGTTCACATTTGTTTTCACATACTTTCTTGAATAATTTCGCCACACAATAATCATCTTTGTACAGAAAAATCTTTGCTATTTTTATAATAAATGCAACCTTTATTGTCACTAATGTAAATTGATTTTATTCAAGAAATCGAAGAAATCTATACACTGTTTGAAAAATCCAAACAGTTTGTGCTTTAGAGAGAGCGAATGTTCTAATCCAACCGATGGTGTGATTTGGATCGTTCCCTGTTGAATATATATCATGATTATCGATAACAACGTTGGATCATCGCTGCATTACATAAAAAGTCCAGCATTAGATTTCTCATTATTTACTTAGCTGGATTTTATTTTCCTTTTTTCATCCAGAGCCGTGAACAATGGCCTTCTGGACACATATCAGTTGAAAGCTCTGGATGCCATAATTGAAGCTCCTGCAGAAGAAGTAAACCTTTTAAAACAACCAGACGGGAAAATTCGTCTTGAATTAAGGGATAAACATACAGGATTCCAGAGTGATAACTTCATTCATAAAGGGGTTTTCGATGCGGTGGTCCGATGTACTGGTTGGACCTTTGATAAAAGCCCTTTTCACAAGTAAGTTGTGATTAGTTTTAAACACGTAAATGTTATCACCGTATGAAGCCGTTTAGTGTTTTTCAAAGAAGCATATGAATTAAATATCTGAATTCATCTCAGCACTTAATGCTTTCTATGTTATATATATATATATATATATATATATATATATATATATATATATATATATAATTCAACTCATCGAGTTCAAAACATAACATTGTCCAGTATCATGCCAACTACAATTTTGAGTCAATACTAGGCCTTTAAATGTAAAAACATAAGTAGCCTATATTGATGTATCAGGTGATGAGATAAAATTATAATGGAGCAGTAGGCAAACACTCTTGTACAGTATATATGTGCACTCTTGTGAAAGGGTTGTAAAACTTTTTTTTAAGTTCCACCATCCCAGAAATGGGAAGAGGGCGTAAGAAGAAGTATCCAAACACAGATAACACATACGAGTCCACAAACATCCCTGGTCTGTTTTTTGCCGGCACCAACGCGCACTCTGTGGACTTCAGGAAGTCAGCTGGAGGCTTTATACATGGATTCAGATACACAGGTGGGCCTAATAAATTTAAACACTTACGGTAAAAACTAACCAACATGGGCTGTGGGGTAATATTTTACTATATTTTAAATATTCATTGTTTCCAGCCAGAACGCTGTACCACTATCTAGAGCACCGCAACCATGGTGTTGAGTGGCCGTCTATAAAAGCACCCATCACAGAACTTTTGGATAGGATACTGAAGAGGATTAATGAAGCCTCTGGAATATACCAAATGTTTCAAGTTCTTGGAGACGTTATTTTACTTAAGAAGTAAGTACTTTTCAATTGATTTGTTTCTGGAATTGTTAAATTTTAGTTCTAGAGAATATAAATTTGGTAAATTGATAGACTGCTAACCTACTTGTTAATCGTAGCTTTTTGAAAAAATGTTTATAAGGTAATTCCACCAATAAAATTGTTAGGAACGGTAGGTTTAGGGCCTACATCTCTGCTGTCGATGCTTGGAAAATATTATCCTGCAAAATAAACCATGAATACCCGGAAAACTTTTTTCATTTTAGTGGTGGCAAAGAATTTGAATACTTGGAAGAATACCCAATCAAATCTCTGCATAAACTGACCGAAGTGACCGGCAAGACCGCTGACCGTCTTCTTGTGGTGGTTCTTGAGTATGGAGCAAACTTCTCCGGGCCAGCTGCCGACGTGTTCAGAACAGATAGAGCATTAGGAGATCCAGCCGCTGCTCACTTGTCAAACTTGTTGCACCCTGCACTTTATTTATATGAGAAGTTGCCTAGCGGTAGGTGTCATAGTATATGGAGATGAAAAGTTAATGTAAAAAACAATTAAGAGCACAAAGACTAGTCATCCATTCTGACAAAACAATCAATGTCGTACAGTGTAAGTTAACGATTGGGGATTGTCTGTAATCATTCTTTCATGAAAAATTTTGTAACTTTTATAAACTATCCTATCATATCCCAATTTTGAAAATTAAAAAACCAAATAAGATAAACAAAATAATGATTTAAAAGTTTAAAACTTCTATAACCCTACATATTTCAGAGGAAGATATGGCGACGATTCCAAAGCACTTGACCCTCCCTCGACCAGCAAGTCTATTCTATCTTATAGATGACGCATTCATTACATGGGATGCCCCATACAGCCACATTTTTGAACTGAGACGTTTCTTGGAAAAATGTATGGACACCGACATGAGGAAGTACTTTGCCAGTTCTTGTTTTACTCTGGCCATGACGCATCAGACAGTACCATTGATGTGCCAGGAGAAATATATGCAAGGTCAAGGTCTTGTTGGAACTGAGGCTCTCTTGAATAGGGTGCGCGGAATGCTTCTGTGATAACTTGAGTAACAAAATGCCAGTTTTGATCAAATGTTTCATCTTTAATTCAGAAAATATCTAATATATATTAATTGCACTTTGACATATATTCGTTGTTGATAAATGTAGAAACCCTTCATCCCATAACTGACAATGGGGAAATTTAGAACCTTGACACTTACAATTGTAATCAAAGATAGAAACTTAAAGGCTTAGCACACAATACTGTTTCTGAGGGGTATTTTTTCTGTATGGACCATAATAAAGGCTTTTAGAACTTTCTTAACATGATTTGAAATACTGTGGCATGTACTATTAAATAATAATAATAATAAACAAACATAACAATTTTAACTATCAACGTGATTTAAAAACATACATAAATTAGCATTTAATGGTATTTAAAAAGTATATCAAATCAAATAACAGTCAATAAAAACATGCTGAACCCATTTACATCAAATGACTCATGTATGATACATCAAATAAGAATAATTGGAGTTAAAAAAGGAGTTGCTGCAATAAGCACATCACAATTATAAGACACAATACTGATAGATAAAGACATATCTTGATTATACTTGTCCTGTACATGAAGGAACTGAAAGGGATTGCTTTTACTCAATCATCGAATATTCACAATATATCCTTGAAAAAATTAGAATTGCACATTATTAATGGGCATAAAATAAAAACATTTCAAACATGCAAGATTAACTTTCCAATTTAAACTGAGAACATTACTTCAGAAATACAACTAGATTATATACTCAAAGGATTCAAATGAAACTGATTGAACATGTTTCCTACAACAATGTTTCATCTTTATGAAGAAAATGGATCATAAAGTTCAGAAAAGTGAGCAAAGCTCATATCAGTTAATTTGTTCTGTGAGTGGCTCAATCTCAACATAAAAGCTGTCTTCCACTTAAACCAGGCCAGCATCCCTGGCCATACCATAAAACATAGACTTCTTGTTCATCAGAAGAGCACTGGGTGTGTCATACTCCTTCAGGGCACCACCATCCAAAACTAACACTCTGAAAAACAATTCAACAGTCTGTCAATAAGATAAAGTTCAAGAAGAAAAAAATTTGAATGATAAGATTGTGTCATAAAAAACAGACCTACAAAGGGATACAAGTGTCTGAAGCAAAAGGAACCTCTCTTACATGCTGCCTTTTGCCTCTGATAAACATCACTTTAAAATCCCTCGTAAATATCCTTATTCAACAGTGACCCATTCCATGATGGTTTTAAGTCTTTAAAGCTCATATTTTAATATGTACCTATCATAATCCATGATTGTATTAAGTCTGTGAGCAATGGTGAGGACTGTGCACTCCTTGAATTCTGTTCTTATTGTGGATTGGATTAGATCATCTGTTTCCATGTCAACAGCAGCGGTGGCTTCATCTAAAACAAGGATCTTGGTCTTCCTCAGTAGAGCTCTGCCCAAGCACACTAGCTGCCTTTGGCCAACACTGCAATTAGAAGGTGAACATTGCAATTCTTTCATCCAAATGTCTTCTACCTTTGTTGAGCTTTAAATATACTAAGCATTTATACTATGTACAACAAAAACAATTTCAGAGTTGTTTTAGACATATTTCATGAAAAAATTGCTATATAAGAATATGAAAAATTTTGGACAAATTCAATTTTTGAGTCAGATTGGACATTAAAATATACAGAAAAAGAGGGGGGTACACAAAAATCCTGTACTCAACCCATTGAAATGCCATCTCAATATGAGCTAACAGCTATTCCTCTACAGCTAAGCCAGTACTCACTCTTGCAAACTTCCCTTTTTCTCTGGACCTGTATTAAACTAAAAAAGATACCTTAAATTTTCTCCCCCTTCAGTGCACTCATGTTCCAGTAATTGTGGCAGAGAGCTGACATAACCCTTTAAATGAGAATGCTCCAGTGCATTCCATATATCATTGTCAGTGTACTGGTCAAATGGGTCAAGGTTCATTCTTAAGGTGCCTGAGAACAACACTGGGTCCTGAAGTGGACAAAACAACATGTGTGTGCAACAAGCCATATCTAATGTGGATATAAATGGCTTTCAAATCGCAAAAATATTTGAAGTGTTTATTTCTTTGATACATGTATCAAATATCCCATGCTACAAAAATTACATATAATGTTTTTTTTAAACTTTCAGTTTTAAACCATTCATTTTTTAAATGAAAGGATAATTGTGGAATGAGACGGATTTAATAGGTAGATCTACCTGTCTGGTTTAAATGATTCCTAAACACACTGTTATTGGCTTGAAATAAACAAATTACAAAATACAAAAATAATTCCAAATTATAGCAATGGTGCAAATGGGAATGGAACATTAGTAGTAATCCCACTATGAGAAAATACAGCCTACCTGTGGTATGATTGTGACTTTCTGTCTCAACTGATGCAATCCCAGGTCAGCAATGTTGATCCCATCTATCACAATGCTCCCTGCAGCAGCCTCAATAATTCTGAACAATGCCAGGGTTAGGGAAGACTTGCCAGCTCCTGTGCGGCCAACTATTCCTACCTGTAATATCAGGTTTAGCAAAAACAACTGGTAGCACCATGCAATACTGTGTTAACTTTCTGCTTTTTTCACTTTAAATTAAAAAATTGGAATATTTTTAAATGATGTGTTCAGTAAATTAAGAATTATTCTTGTGTATAAATTATGATAAAATTAATTGATGTAATTGTTGGAAATGTATACAATCAAACTGGACTAAAAATGTAAATGAAAGGAATAATATACCAAAAAAAAATTGAGTTAAACATACCTTTTCTCCGGGATGCACCTCACAATTAATATCCCTAAGCACCAGGTCCAGACCAGGCCTGTACCTCAAACTGAACTGGTTGAATACCACTTTACCCTGCTGGGGCCACTCAGGGGGTGGGCGGTTGTGGTTAAGGTCCCAGGGGGCCTGTAATACAACACATTCAACTGTACATTTTCAGGACAGACTTCAGACACAGAACAAATTATTTCAAATGATAGTAAACCAGATGACCCACCTCACTGTCCAGTTCAGAGTACTCCTTTATCCTCTCTACTGCCACAATTTGGGTCTCAAAGTCACAGCTCATCCTCACCATGTAGTTCAGGGAGGCTGTCACCTGTAGGGGGATGTACACATGTAAAATAATGCTTTTTAAATTAAATTTGTGGAGAGACTAGTGCAATACTGAAATTTTTTTCTTTTCTTTTTGGTACTTTACAAATGGAAATTATGTGGGTGATCTGCAGATTTTCCCTTTCCAAGTTGATCACAAAGATAAATGATAATTGATGTATCTGAAAATAAAGACTTTTAAACTTGCAAAACAGGTGAGGTTGTAGGGAGTTTTATATATATTTTCCGCACAAATACTGCCTTACTCTTTAATTATCAACTAACTGAAGATAGTCTTAAACTCTGAAGATAAGGAGTAGAGTGCTTACCTGTAGAGCAAAAGACACAGAGAGGCCCACTTCCCCTGATGTGATCCCTGCATCACTCTCTCTGGCAATAACAGCGAATAGAGATGCAAACAACACTATGAATGAACCAATGGTTTCCAAGCCAACCCCCAGCCACCTACAGGGAAAGAAGAAAAGTGAAAAAAAAATTAACTTGCTTCAAACAATCTTGTCCAGAATTAATCTCCTGCACTGAAGCACATCTGTGTGCAGTCTTTGGTCCTTCACACATCATTCTATATACAAAACAAACGAAAAAACAAACAAACATTTTTTGGGGTACATCCCCCCCCTTAAAATGGATCCCCTTGATTACCCCCTTGAGCTTGGGAAAAAGAAAAGTCATATTGAACAAGATCAGGTGAATAAGAACACCATCACCCTTCTGGAGCAACCTCCTCTTACCCTGATCTTGCTGTGTGTGACTTTTTCTTACCTATTAGAAGTGATATATGGGAACCATGCCATCTGGTTTTCATCCACCATTCTGTCCGTGGTCTGTATAAATCTCTCCTGCTGTCTGAAGGCTCTGATAGAGCTTGCACCAACTATTGTCTCGCCAAAGTGGGAATATATAGGGGACCTCTTAAGGGAATCAATTCTTTGCAGTTGTCTAACTGTTGCAACGTAAAACCTCTGCAACAGATTAACAATATTATAACATACACATCTTTGTCATATATTAATTGTTATCATTATCAGAAATATGCACATATAATAATATGTTATAAAATAAATGGGACAGCTCTGATCATAAGGTAGAACTAAGAAAATGAAAGTATATAATATCTTAGAAAATATACAGTTACTGTACTAATGTGTTGGATTTACAAAGTGGCTAAAATTGTTTATTATCAAAGTAAAAATGATATGAAGAGGGAAATCTTTAAGATCACTTGAACATGTTGGTCAAAGAAAACTTGATTTGTCAAGCCATCAAAGAAATCAAAAACTAAAAACATATTTAGATATAACATATTTAGATATGAACATATTTTTATATATGTGTCAACCTATCAAAAATCCTACCTGCACAAAATAGTACAATATTCCCAGTGGTACAATGACCACTATGAACAAAGGTGTACTGTAAGTGATGACCACCAGAGTTGAGATGACACTGGCCAGAGTGGCCAGGAATATCCTCATTGTCATAGGAATAGTGATGTCCACTGTGTCCATGTCTTTGGAGAAACGATTCACAATCCGACCTAAACACATGGAAAAAGTTCTATGACTCATCTGATTGCTTAACAAAACTCATTCTGCCATGTGGCTATAGAGAAAAATTGCATCTTGTCACACTTCATAATGCCTTTAAAAACATTTCAGATCACAAATACTTTGAGTTCCTGACTAGATGGAGATCTTGTAATTTAACTGGGCCAAGCAGTTGATTCTTATAAAGGATTTGTGCAATGGAATGTCAAATTCATGGGCACACAACACACTTCATCAAATCCAGAGGTCATACCTACCTAGAGGTGTGGTGTCAAAGAAAGCCATGGGTGTCTTCATAATACACTTGAGTATACCACTGTGGAGGATATCAGAGGCACATATACAACCAGTGGCAATGGACAGAGACTCTATCAGGACAAACAAAGCTGGAAAAAAATAAGTGGTGCAGAATCTACACAGCTGTTTCATCTCTCTTTTGTATATATACAAGATTGTGTGATTCAATTATCATAGGCCCAACAAGATTCCCTTTCATCAAGGTTCCATTCAAGAGGAGAATGTGACAATCTAGACATCACATAGTTTTCGAACCTTTAACTACACTGGGTGTATTCTCTTTGTTGGCTTATGCTACTGACATGGCTCAGTTCATGGTCTTACTGAAACTGCTAAATTTGACCTAAAACCTTCTACCTACATGTACCTGGGCTTTGTCCAACCTACCTTGTCCTCCACCTAATGCTCCATACACCCCAAGTCTTAGGTCGGTCAGAGCCCTATCCTGAGTATTATTAATGACTTGGTCATTGCTCCATATGTTTAGCCATATATTGGAGCCAATCATGCAACCCACAAATCCTATGTAACTGAACACAGTGGTAAAGAATGCCACCATACCCAGAGCCTTCATGTAGGCAACAATTACAGCAAAGCTCACCTGGGAAAAGATGATGAGAAAAATCAGTTTCAATGGTGATTTATCAGTTAATAATACTTCCTTATCAATTATATAAAAATACAAAATATTGTACAGTAGGTCTTACAACATTCCCCCCTAAGACAATTCCTCTGTGATCCTGCCTACTGCTTTATTTTAACTACACAACTGTTTAAACACAGTTCTAGTGCACTGTCCATTTTAATTAGTATGCAACATCCTTTAGGTGTTACTGATTTGTTCTGTTAGATAAAATAGCATACAGTAGTCTCTGCCAGACACTGATTCCACACAGTTACTTTTTCAAAAAAAAAAAAAAAAAAAAAAAATGCATACAAATAGTGCATTATCCACAGCATTACAAAATAGTGAAGACTGTTGTGAATGAATGGTACTCACAGTTCCAGTTTCTGCAAATTCATCCTGAATTAGTTTCACTCCTACTTTGGATTCCCTCTTAATGTGAAGAGACTCCTCTACAGATTTACTCCTTGATGTGGTCCTGGCCCTGCTGATGTAGACAATAATAACATGTGAATTTTTGGCCACAAACATTATAAATTCACCTAAAGTTGCTAATGGATATATGGATTATGCAGGTTACATTTTACTTAAAGAATAAAAAATATACAGAAGCAGAGAAGCCATTTTTGCTCTTTATGCATTAAAATAAATTAAACATTTTTGGTTTGAAAAGGAGAAAAAAATAAGATAAAAAGAATAAAGTTACATAGTCATTCAAACAAATAACAAACCTAGTCTACCCTTTCAATTAATTGCTCCCTTACCTCTTTTTTCGTCCTGATGAGGTGAAAGGAGATTTTCCTCGTTCTAATTCACTATCTCCACCACTCTCTTCTCCTGACAGGATGGATATCTGGCGCCTTAGCTGAGCCTTCATTTCACTAGCTAAACAGTACAAACAGAGCCATATGCTGTAATATCATTCAACATTCATATAAAGCACATTTATCTTCAAATTATCCAATCATTAAAATGAAAATTATTACTTTAAAGTAAAAATTAAAGTTATTTTTTAATAATTCAAACCATGACAATGAACAAGTTATTTTTTTTATCAAAAAAAGTTTTTTTTGATGGTAAACGTTACTTGCTACTACTAAACCTAGAAAAGATTTCTATGAGATCGGCTCAAGTGAAATGCATGAAACATACTACTCAGTTTGTGCCAAATAGTGTCAAAAGATGGTTTTAAAAAAGAACCCAAAACATATCTTTAAAAAATTATTATTATTATTATTATCAGTAATATCCAATGTTCAAAAAACTTATACATCATTAGCTCTAGAAAATTAAAACTTGGAGAGGCTCATAATACTATGAAATGACCATAAATAAAATATACTGGCCTAAAGATTTGTGCCTTTGTGACTTTAATAAATAGCATTATATCTTGTAAATATAGTAGATTTTACCTTTTCTAATGTCAAACTAATGTCAAATTAAAAACTCACTTTCTTCATCATCTTCACTTTCCGATGATTCTTCTTCTGCATTAAGATAAGTCTTAATGAACTCAGAAAAGGCGCCATTATGACTCAGCAATTCTTGATATGTACCAATCTCGGAGATCTCTCCACTAGACAGTACTATGATTTTGTCCACTTTAGGCAGGCAGCTGATACTGTTGGTGCATAGTATTCTGGTCTGAAGTGTCATATGAACATAATATTGAATTCCATGGGGCTAGTCTACTCTACGTTCAAAGATGATAATGCACAAATTAAATAGGTGCAGGTGAACTCCAAGTAAACTTTTCAGTTGGAGGGTTAAATCTGAATATATATATATAATATACTGCACACAATATCAATAATTCAAATTTAAACCACACAAGCATCTCTATTCAACATAATGTCTAAAGAGCCATAAACAAGTATCACAGCTATTCTCAATAGCAGCATTAAAATATAGAACCAAGGGAGCAAAAAAAAAAAAAAAAAAAAAAAAAAAAAAAAAAAAAAAAAAAAAAAACTGACAATATGTCTACCTTAGATTTCAGCATTCCCTGAGGTCCTATCACTTCATTAAAGATGTGCTTGCCAACATGGCTGTCCACAGCACTGAGGGGGTCGTCCAGAAGGTAGACATCACAGTCCTGGTAAACAGCTCTGGCCACACTGACACGCTGTTTCTGACCTCCGCTCAAGTTGATACCCTGGAAATGTTAACAGTTGACTCTTTAACTAAAATTAAAAAAATAATAGAAATAAGAAAAATCAAAAATTGCAAATTTAAAAGAAGATTTATAAAATCTGTGGCAAATTTAAATAAAAACATACAATATGAATGAACATACTTTTTACACATTTATCATGTCATATCAATCTAACCTTCTCTCCAATCTCTGTCTGATCCCCTCCAGGTAAAATCTTCAGGTCAGGTTCTAGGGCACAGCTGCTGAGACATTTTTTATACAGTGTTTCATTTAACTTTTTCCCAAATAGGATGTTATTTTTAACTGTCTGGTTCTGAATCCAGGCTTGCTGAGCCACATATGCCACTGAACCCTGGGGTATACATAGTAAAACACATGTGATGTATAAACTCTGTCTTAACCAAATTCATCATAGCAGCTTTGATAAGGTACAATCACTATAGACTAATGAATATATCAAATGAATAAAAAAAAAACTCAATTTTAAAAATATTATCTAAAAAATTCAACAAGATTTCTTTTATTACATGATATGTCCCTGGCTCATTTTATTGTGTGGAGAAAATAGAAC